AGCCATTTTTGTGTCTGAAGAACTTTCAAATGTGCTGGCTTTATGTAGACACGAAGCTTGGCAACAAAAATTGTGTCTTTTAATAAAAAGAACGACCTTCATCACTGGTACCAAAATGACCCAATACTCAAAATTTCTTATGTATTTTTATGGAACCAATCAATTTTAAGTTTTTAATGGCTTTTTTAGGATTTATTTAGTATTTTGGCTGTGACTGTACTAAAAGAAATTGCACTTGAAGACCTAAGAGTGATTCTTAATGCAATATTTCACAAATGCATGGGGTGTCCGAAAACTTTTTTCCACCACTGTATCCTTCCTTGTTCTGAACCAGATTCCATTGAGAAAAACAATGATTTAAGATCACTGAAAACAGGAGCTGCTTGTCGGCCACTGCTTCAACTTCTTATTTTGTTTGTGTTATTGTGTTACTTTGTTTTAAACGGTCACTTTGGATTCACCAAAGTCACAAAATAACACAGACTAACTAACTGGTTGAAGCAGCAGCAGACCAGCAGCTCCAGTGTTCAGTGAGCTAAAATTACTGTTTTTGCTAATGGAGTCTGGTGTTTTTGACGAGAGCATAGATGGGGAACTGAAGCTGTTCAGTCGTAACAGGCTGTCTGACAGAGAGGTAAAGTAGTGAAAACACTCTCAATATAGCGTACACTTAAACTGATACTGATTGTTTTAGGTGGCAAAAATACATTTTGCTGCTGGCCCCGTGCACAGCAGTACATTTCTTAGCGTCTGTGTCAGACTGCTGTCTGCTTCTCCAAACTGGGGGCGTGCCAGCTGACACCTTCTGAATGTAAGACACTTACTATGGGCAAGTACCTTATACAACCTCACTTCAAAAAATCCAGTCTCTCTATGGCCTTTATTATTTCACAGCATTATATTCAACAAAACCCTCAGTAAACAGGTAAAGTATTGAGTGGGTGTGGAGGAGCGGGGTACGGTGTGGTGGAAAGCTCCCAGCATGCACTGTAACATGTTTAGAATCAAATGTGATCGCAAATGTTCCTAAGTTGATGCTCTTCTCCTCAAAGGAAGAAATAATCAGCAGCAAGTTTTCCAATCAGTGACATGTTTCATCAATCACATCTCAGGAGAAGAGATGCTTTGTGTGCAGCTCCTTGGAAATACCACACAACCACTCACTGACACATATCTGCAGTCATGACGCAAAGTCCAAAGTTATCAGCCAACTTCGGGAACAACAGCTCCAACACTGACAAAGACTTTTACTGTTTGCATTTCCAGAGAAAATATGGTTAATGTCTAACTCAGTTAAAGTCAGTCAATCCCACTTGTTAGCTCATGCACACAACACCATATTGCACCAATCTGGTTATACGGCCAATCATAATCAGCTGCAGTGTTTATTCAGGTAGTGTGCACACACACGTCTTACCTCCTTCTTACTTTATACTAATAAAAAAAATAAGTCTGAATAGCCCTGAGATATCTGACACACCCCCACACTTGATTCCTGTGAAATATCAGTTATGCGAACAGCGACATGTTCACACACTCGTGTGATTCTGAGGAAGAGAGCTACTTCAGAATTTAGAGCTGAGAGAAGAGGTCCATCTTGTCATGACAGGATGTTGAAGCCCACCCAACCCTCTCCACTGTGGTAATAATGAAACTGAACCTAAAGTGAAAGTTCCCCTTCACTCAAAAATGTGCTTATTTCCTCTAACATGTCTGACCTTGACTTCACTGACTTGTATCTGTGTAAAGTTAGTCATGAGAGGTGTTTTCACGTTCCTCTGCTGAAGGTTGTGATGTCAGTGAACTTCACTAAAATCTGGGATTCAAACATACACCGGGCAGCTACATTAGGTACAGCACTAATATGGAAACTAATCACTGTCTAAAGGCTGAGACACACCAAACTGACATTAAAAAAAAAACTAGGCTGAGTGTTGCGTAATCTCACTTTGCCTGTGTCTCGGCCAAAAAGCTGAACCTGAACACACCACAAAAACTACAGCCAACAGCCAACCAGCACGAACGTTCTGCACCTGTGTGAGATGAAATAACTCTCAGAACCAGAAGGTAGTCTGTATCAACACATTCTCACTCAGACCTCGTCACACATCGACATGTGGTCATGGACCCTCCACATCCAGACACAACGTCCAAGGTACCCCTTAAATGCACTCTGTTCATACAACCACTCGAATTGACTTTTTTTCCTCCCCAGCTACTAACACACGTGGTTGGGTTCAGGAAAAAAGAACAGGGTTTGGCTCTATAATCTTACAGGATGCAAACACCGCTCTCCCAGGTGACAGTCAGTGCTTGTTGGACTCATCCACCACCCCTCCATCCACATTACTCCGACTTTTGCCACCTTAACGTTCATCCTTGTCCCGACATGTTTCCCCCTGACACCACCTAACACTGTTAAACAAATACAGCGACCAGCAGCGTATCATGCCAAATTCAAAGGACAGATTTTTTTTGTCAGTGTCTCACATCGCAAGTCACTGACAAAGTGCCGGATTTCTACGACTTCAGAGAACCACAGGTCGAGACAAACACTCGGAGTACTAAGACCAAACACTGGAACTGTCACACAAAGGAAAAAAAATCTGGCACAGCAGGAAGGGACGACACGAGCCCTTCTTACACAGAGATGGTGCTACAGAGCTGCTATGAAGTCTCTTCTTCATGCCGCCTTTGCATTTTTACACAGAACCAAACAGCGGCGGCATCATGTTGCTCCAGTGTGTGATTTTAGAGAACATGCTGGCACTCTGAAAGCAAAAGAGGCGTGACAGGTGTGACATGTAACCCGACAGCGTCAGCCTCTAGTGTGACATAAAACATACATTTATAAACAAAACAAGGATATAACATGACAGTAACAATCATTTACCGTCTCTGTTACACGGCGGCTGATCTCATCCTCTGCTCGGAGGGTAAGGAGCTCCAGGACCTCATTGTTTTCCCAGTTTGTGGACATTTTCGGCAGCTGCTCCTCTTTGAGTTAGCTGCTAACTGCTTTTAAAATCTCCCATGGACGGTGCACACATAACATGAAGTCAAATGTCACACCCATGTCGTCCATGATCCCGTCATGCTGGCTGTCCCTTTTACACAGACGTATTCAGCGCTGTTACCACCTCAACGTGAGACAACTCTGAAATTCCCGCCTTGAACATGCAGTGTAAACAGAGCTACAGACTAAATACACCAGGAGAAGGAAGACAACGAGACACAGGTGCAACACGTTAGGGCGAGGCAGGCAATCACACAGGTGGGAAACCTCACAGGAAGTGGATCATAAATGAGACAAGAGGTAAGTGACCAAAATAAAACAGGAAACAGAAGACAAGCAAGAACTCAGGAAGAGTATTTCTTTAAGAGGTTTTTTTTTTTTTTTTAAATACTTTTTATGTGGAAGAAACATGCTAAACAAAGTATTAGGGAATTAATTAGTATTTTTACATACTTCATGTATCTGGAGGGGGACTTTAATAACCACCTCCAGGTATGACAGCACTAAAATCAAAATACTGAGTCAGTCTTTTATACAACTGTAATTAAACAGAACCATTACCTTTCTAATCATCTGACCACTTAGAGTGCTTTTTGCACCATGAGTCACAGTCACCTGCAACTCAGTTTACTTTAACACACTCACACTGATGGAGCAGCCATTGGGAGCAATTTGGAGTTCAGTATCTTGCTCAAGGACACTTCAACATGCAGAGTGGGGGAGCCGGGGATTGTCACAGGATGTCTGCTGTGATTCTGAGAGATGTTTTGTAAAACCTGAGAAAAAATGTTATAAACTGGAGGTGTGGAACTGATGTGTGTGTTTACCAGGCAGGAAGGGCCTAAATTAAGACTCTGTCCAGTTGCATTGTGGGAAATGTAGGAGCCACAGTTTGACTCATTAGTGCAGTGCCCAATCAAAACGCACCTGTTTGGAACAGGCTGACTGCTCAGCCTCTGGAACTGCTGCTTGGAGATTTCGAGAGCGAAACATCATCATCCTAATAACTTCACACTGGACACTGACACTTCCTCTGGTCCTCAGAAATACACCTGCCATTACAGAGTTGCATCATCCAGCGGTTCAAAAGTTCACACAAACATTTGATGGCCTCAGTGAAGTTCAACAAATGAAGTTGAGTAAAAAGTACATTTACCTCTGGGGTGTAGTGGAGTGGAGGTATAAAGTTGCATAAAATATGTAGAAATGATGAAGTACAAGTACCTGAAATTTGCACTTACGTACAGTACTTAAATAAATGTACTTAGTTACATTCCTCCACTGCAAAATACCAAACATCTGCCTCATTCTTCCATTCAAAGTGTTTTTTTTAATCATCAAGAAGTCTTAATTAAAAAACAACAGTTGTAAAATATCATCTTATAATCTAAAAAAAAATTACTTTTGTCTCTTTGATCAAAGTTTGAGCACAGAAACATCCAAAACAGTCACAACACACAGTTTGACATTTTTCATGTTTTATTCAAACGTTTGAACAGAAATGATGAAGCTCTGCCTGAAATTACATGATACCTGCAAGAGCATCATCAGAGAACAACAGAAACATGCATGAGCTTCTAATATGACAGTCAACAACAGTGTACCTAATAAAGTGGACACTGAGTGTATAGTTCAGTGTGTAACTGTAGCTGACAGACTCTGGCTTAGCACCTTAACCAATAAAAAGAAGCAGTACATGTTTGTCCCAATGATCAATATCAAAATAAACAATAAGTCCCATTATATTTCACTTTAGCTCCAAAATATTCACATTTCTTTGACAGCGTGACAGCAGGCTTTAGTTCAGTGAAGTCTCATGATTCTGTTAATGTCCATGTGGAGCTCAGTTAGGACCTTTAACAACTACAAGCAGCAGGATCATATTTGGTCAATGGACTACATTATATAGCACTTTATATCTTCCTCATTCATTCATTCACTCACTCACTCATTCACACACTGATGTCAGCCAGCTACCATGCAAGCTGCTGTCTGACCATCAGGAGCAATTTGGGCTTCAGTGTTTTGCTCAAGGACACTTGGACATGTGGACAGGAGGAGCCGGGGATTGAACCACCGACCCTGTGATTAACTGACCACCTGCTAGCAGTTATTTCAACACTTTGTCTGGGAATTAAAAAGTGACTGTGGAGGAGCCATCCTGTTTCCTTCAGCTGAGGATCATCAGTAACATTTAGTTTTTTTTAAACAACCACAGATGGCGAATAAGTATGAAATGGTTTAATCTCATTTCGTCTGGACGATCACAGTTCTCTTTATTAAGGAATCAGTCAAAAGTCACTTGTCTTCAATTTTTTTAAACATGGTGCTGTTTGGATTTCAACTAATTAAAGGAGAACACAAACAAACTTTCATTCTTCATTAGATGCCTGTCACTTTGATAATTTAAGATTCTCAGAAATACTTTATTGATCCCCGAGGGGAAATTATTTTCTGTTGATGATGTTTTGGTCACTTCATGTTCAAACTACAAGTTACACTACAGGTATTTTAATCTCTTCCTAAAATCCTCAATAAGGAGTCTCCTGGTTGTTTCAAGTTACCTGATTATCACCTGATTATCACCTGATTACAGAGAGTGACTGTGATGTTTTTGTCCTTATGGACCAGACACACCAAACTAGGGAATGTCAAGATTGCACATCGTCAAGATTACAACCAACAGCCAACCAGCACAAACGTTCTGAGCCTGTATGAGAGGAAATAATTCTCCATAGCAGTAGACGGCGGTAGTCCATAAACTTAATTTAAAAAGGGAAACTGGAAGACAGACAGGTTGAATACAAGACGCTAGTTAGCCGGTTAGCTCATTAATAACAGAGAACAAGAACAAATGATATTTACCGTGCCCCGGTGAACAAAAACACAAACCATCAGGAAATGTTTCTGCTGAGGAGTTCAATGGCTAACGAAAAATAATCTGACGTTACGTAACAAGTTTGTTTTGATCTCACTTCCTCTTGACTTTAGCTGTTTGTTTACTTTCCTCACTTCCATTTCTCTTCTTATGCACTGAGCTGAACTGACAATAAGAGCCGTTTTAACATGCTGAATCTGACAACAGCCAACGGTGCAGGACATATTGCAAAGACTAGGGCGCTAGAATTTCACTAACAGCCTGACACTGACTAACGGCCGACCGTCAGCTTGGTGTGTCAGGGTCTTTACACTTCAGCAGACAAGTCTCAACCCTCTTTAAAGAGGTTGATCCCTTTCTAACTTGGATCACTGAACGTTGCTTTTATTGTTTCATTATCCTACTTTGCCATCACATAATTATTTATTATTATTATTAATCAAATTATTCATCACATTTCATGTGACTAGTCCGACTCTGTTGATCTTCATCTATTTTTTTTATCTCTGTGATCAAATATATCTTGTATTGTGCTCCTTCTTTTATTGTACCACTAGTACACAGAGAATTATGGGTGTTTTTGGCTGCAATGTACGAAGTGTTTCTGTGATGCAGGCTTTAATTCGTACTCAATAAGACAGTACCATCTACACATCATTTATAGAACTAAGGAGGTAAAATTTCTTGATCATGGCCGTTAAGATCATTAATAAATTAAACTAATAAATGAAACAATCTCAACAACTCCCATCACACGATATTAGAAAACCCTCAATTACATTCAGTAGTGACATTTTGATATATTAGTTTGATTGATTACTGATTAATAATAATGATTGATGTCTAGTTAAAGTTTGATGTATGAGGGGAAAAAAATGTAAAAAAAAAAAAAAAAAAGAAAAAGTTAAAGTTTAATTGCTAAAGTATGCTAGTTAAGTATTGTTAAGATGAGGCAAATTAAACATTCTGCGCTCTGTTTGGACAGATGTAAGTGTTTTATAATTGGTATAATTGTATGTAATATACAGGCATTTTGTGTTGGAAGCAGAAAGTAAGTGGTTATTAGACTGCAGTTATATATTAAGTAAATATAACTCTTTTATCTAAAGCACTTAATAATTGTCTTTACAGCTTTACATTTACAATTCAGATTTGGTAAGAATCTGTTAAGTGCTGCCCCGACCTCCAAAATTTTACCTTTTGTCTTTCACCACAACTGCAACCACACACAATACCTGATTCAAACCTTCAACCTGTCACCAGGTCACAACTCAAACTGGCCTTTAAGAGGCTGAGGACAGAAGACAAAATGTCATCACTCTTTTGGTCTAAAACTCAAAGTGGTCCTCACTAAAAAAGAAGTACAACACACACACACCTCTGCAGAAGACTTTAAAGTTGATCTTGACTGTTTCATGGTGAACCTGCAGGAAGGAAAACAAAATGACATTAATGAAAATCTTTTCTGTCTTTGAACTGATCAGGCTGCACAATCTATACTGACACACTGTTGCATTTGCACTGGATAAACAAAGCCAAACATTATCTCCTGGATAAGACATCAAGTTTCTGCCTAACAACATGATGGTTGATATACGACCCCAAATCACAGAGATACTGATTTGCACTGGAGTAATATTACCTTACAGACATAGCAGATTCACATGGGATTAAAATCACTGACAACAACAGGAATAGGGTTTATGATTCTCTTTTACAGGTTTTATCTGGATGGCACACTCAGACGTTGTTGTATTGTGAAATAAAGTTTTCTTTGTTTCAAACAAGAATTCACAAACATGACTTTCAGTTCCTGAGTTCAGTTCCTCAGTTTCCAAAGTGCCCATAAGGTTTTGGTGGAACAGATTCTCTTTCAGTCAGGAACTGACCCCTGACCTGAGGCTGAACTGTTCGGTTTGTTCCTGTTTCTTCCAGCTGAAGAACAACTTTGACCCATCATGTCTCAAACTTAGATAAAGATGACTATTAATGTTTTAATTCATCCTGTATGGACAATGACTCCTTCTTTACTCTCTTCAACAAGACATCCAAGCTCTTGACCACTTCCTCTAAAAGGCCTCACATGACACTGGTTTCTTTCCACTGTCTCTGCATCAGATTGTGATTCAACACTCTTGGCATCTGTAGTGTAAGAATTAATCCCTAATCCAGTAAAAGTGATATACTGCATAAATTGATAAAGAACAAAACCATATAACCATCATATAACCATGTTTTATGCATAAGTTCTTATAAAACTGAGTGCGATGCATCTATATGTGTTAAAACACTGTCATGCATAACAAAGTATTCATAATATGAGTTCACATTGTATCCATACGCTAAAGAACACACACATTCAAAGATAACCTATCGTGCTCTGTATAATGATAACACACATATGCTCAAATGCTTGGATTACCTGATGCGCATTAAAGGATTATATTGCATGAAGGCATAAGGGACCCCAAGTTCCATATGTTTTTTAAAAATAGTGTAAACCTGAGTTCCAACCTAATGGTGGGAGAGTTTGGGGATTTGCAGGCCGGGGGAAACAGATACACCATTAAGACATGCCTGGGCATGTTTGGGCATGTCTGGACAAAGGTGAAAAGGCCGGCCACCAATAGGTTTGGGCTCAGGTAGGAAGGGCTAAAGAAAGAAGGTGGAGATTCTCTTGAATCTCCACCAGCATAAAAGGGAGAGCTCAGAAAGTGAAACTTCAGTCCTGCTCCGGAGCTTGACTCGATGAGTTGTATGTGTTGAAGCTTGTGAACACATTAAACTCGATTGCATCGGACTCTGCCTGTCTCCAGTGTTTCTTTGAGTATTACTTAGCTGAATCCAAGGTACCAGATCAACATCAAAGGGCAACTGAGAAGTCAAGTGGAGGACAAGGTCGGGAGCCTACAGGCCCACTTCCAGGCCCGATTTTTGCCTCTACACATCACATTTGTTGCTTTGCAGGGTCAGACACCAGCCTGCATAAAATAATCCTCTGGAGTGCTTTCTTTGTTGCTGTGGAGCAAATGGCAAAGTTACTGCCTCTCTGCGTGATTCACCAGTTGCTCCACAGCACAAACAAAAAGCACTCCAGACGGTCATTTCCACAGCCCAAAAGATCATCAGCTGCCCTCTCCACTCCTTTGTGGACATTTACAAAACTCAGGTCAAGTTTCTCTTACAGTTTACATCCATGTCTGTGAAAACATGGATGCTTTACACGTCTATACAATCAGCACAGTTTCAAGGTGGACACCCAAGATTAATGTCACCAACTCAGTATCTGACCAAATGTCTCCCCTTCTGTTTACTGAGATACGATGTTGAGGAATGTACAGAAAAAGATTTTTGCGGCCACGGCTATCACCGGTGCGGAGGCATCAAGCAGACATGGACATATTCTGCTGTACTTGTTCAGCGGATCAGTTTTAAGTACTGCAGTGAGGGAGACTACAAACAGAAGCAGCCTGAGAGAGTTGTCAGAGGAAGAGTTGCAGGTGACAGGCTCTTACACGTCATCAAGCTTCACTTTGCTGGCAATGTGACGCAGTGGACACACACTTGTGTTGTTCCATGGCATGGCTCGATGCAACAAATCCCCCTCACCATGGTGAAACACCAACAGAGAGCTACTGTCGCCCTTCATCACAAGTATGAGTTTTTTAAAATAGATTTTTAAGTCTCTCTATTTGAGAGATCAGTGAAAACATCCATTTAGACGTGTTTCCACTTTGATGTGCATTAACAGAGAGCCGTTAAGAATCATGACACAAGATAGTCACAGTACCTGCTGTGTAACTGTCTGCACATTACAGATACACTGATAAAATGCATTATTTAAACTTACCTTTATTACAGCAATTTCCAGAATGAGTTAAATGAACTCCTACAAAAACAAACATTTTGCGAGAACTCCGACAGCAACTCCGATCATCACTTTCCTGAACGTCTGATCTGAAACACAGAACAAGAGGGTTAAAGTTATTACTACTGTGGAAGTCTTTAACTCTGCTGCTGAACCCTGTGCGTCACTTGGCAAGTTTGTTTGTCAAATATGTCTGTTGAATATGTTAAAATCCCACACTTTGAGAGGTATTTGTTTAGTTAAGAACATGTCCCACCTCAGTGATGTAAGTCAAAATGAAGCTCAAAAGCCTTCAGGTTGTACTTTATTTTGACACACTGGTGGCTTCTCTGATCAACATTTCACACTAATGAACACACATTTCCTAAATTCACTGTGAACTCACAGAAATCAGACATTGTTCTTTTACAAGAACATGAAGGAAGGAGGAACAAACTCAATCTGTGTAAAATCCATCCATCCATATTTGTAACCACTTATCCTGTTGGGGGTCACATGAGTGCTGGAGCCTATCCCAGCTGACACTGGGTGAGAGGCAGGGTACACCCCTGACAGGTCACCAGACTATCACAGGGCTGACACATAGAGACAGACAACCATTCACACTCACATTCACACCTACGGACAATTTAGAGTCACCAATTAACCTGCATGTCTTTGGACTGTGGGAGGAAGCTGGAGCACCTGGAGGAAACCCACACTGACACGGGGAGAACATGCAAACTCTGCACAGAAGGGCTCCCCCACCCTGGGTTCAAACCAGGAACCATCACGTTGTGAGGCAACAATGCTGACCACTGCACCACTGTGCAGAAAAATGTGTTCCTGTTATGGTTGAGAAGCTGGTAATCAAAGGAAACCAAAAAGCAAGTCTTAATTCTTTTTTTCCTGGATTTCTGCATCTCTTCATTGTGCACAAATTCAGAGAGTCATGATGTGTGAAGAAGTGCAGGTTTAGTTTGTTTTGCAGATTATCCACTTTGCGATGGAACATGTACGAGACTACAGAATTCAAAGGTCTGGAGCCAGGCAAGCACAGTATATACTTAAAGCATAGCATATCTTTGAAGGTCAAAGATTTGCACTTGCTACGGCCCCTTTCCACAGGTAAGTTAAAACTAGGTTTGTTATTTTAATAACTGTTCATTTTGCTCTGTGTACTGAACAAATCTGTCCAAATGTTTTCATCCTAACATCATGTTATGTGTCAAGAGTTGAAAAGTTCCTAAAAGAAAAGACAGCATATTATAGTGGTGACAATACTGGTCAAGTCAATATTTATATAGCCCTATATCACAAATTTCCCTCAAATGTTTTTGGGGTTCAAGGTGGAGAAGGAGAATCTCTCCAACACAAGTTTTCATGAGCTCAGACTCAGAGTCTACAGCCAGGCAGCAGCTCTATGAGGCTGTAACACAGGCAGGTCACACTGGTCTCACACTTTAGATAAGAGACAGACTGTACACAAGATGATGTGTGTCTTTTATCTCGTCTTATTTTCTGTATATACCCATGAAATGATGATACAAGTCAAAACTATCATTTATGTAAACATGCAGATGTTATGGTCTTTGTATGAGGGTGACGTGATGGTTGAGTTCACATACCTGAGCTGTGTGCTCCAGACCCACTGTTCACTGATGCAAATGAAAACAGACGACATTAGTCACTGACACATGAGAACATATTCTTGCATAACTTATATTCATTTCACATAACTGAACTAAAGTAAAAATCAACTTTAAAAAACTGATGAGATCTCAGACACAGCATTTCAAATAATACATTTCTGATATAAAAAAATAAAAAATGATCGAAAAACTTGAGAGTTTTGTTTTGAAGTGCTGTACATTCAATGAAAAAACGGCCAGAAATCAGGATCGGAATGAGAAAAAGTTTTATTGCCAAGATGGTTTTGCACATATAAGGAATTAGTCTTTGTGTTTTGTTGCATTGTGCAGTGTGTGTTTACTGTACTGAGACAAACAGCCTGTTTACACTCAGTATTTCTGCTGCATCCAGCTGTTGGGAAGCTGNGTGTTTTGTTGCATTGTGCAGTGTGTGTTTACTGTACTGAGACAAACAGCCTGTTTACACTCAGTATTTCTGCTGCATCCAGCTGTTGGGAAGCTGCTGCATGGCTGGTAGAAATACACTCACACTGGGCTGCCTTCTGCAAATCACATTAAACAGCACCTATGATTTGGTGAACTGTGCAGTGCAGCATTTACATTTTCTTTCAATTTCTTCAGTGAAATTTTCTGAAAAACTGAGCAAAGCAGAGAAGTGATTCTGAGGTCCCCAACCAAACACACTCCTCTCCCTGACTGTGTACTGAGATCCTCCTCATGAGGACCCTTCTCATGAGGAGGATCTCAGTATGCAGTCAGTGGCGACACCCACTGAAAATGTGTTTGACTTCCTGCCAAGGACACAGTCACACAGCTCTCACTCGGGTCACATGAGGACGGGTGAATGTAAGCCTTCACCAAGTCCACAAAACACATCTAAACTGGGAGGGCAAACTCCCACGACTCCTCCAGTAACCCTGCAAGGGTGAGGAGCTGGTCCACTGTTCCACGGCCAGGACGCAATCTGCCTTGCTCCTCCTGGATCTGAGATTCAACCATCCAGCAGTCTGGAATAAACATTCTAGAGGAGCTGAGCAGTGTGACCCCCTGATAACTGAAACACACCCTCCAGTGTCCTTTAGTTTAAAAATGTGAACCACCACCAACATAGTCTGCCCCTCCACTGGCACTGTCCCTGATCCTCATGCAACACTGAAACTCTGTGTCATCATCAAACATCTTCAGGCAGATGTGGCAAGCAGCCGAGAAAAAGACGATGAGAGGAACGTTATTTATTAATGGAATAAATCAGCAGTGTGGAAAAAATCATAGAAAACAAAAGGTCAACAGACAAAGCACATGCCATATCAAGCTATAAATGACAGAATCTGTGTGTGTGTCCTTTGCATATCTCGAGAACCATTCATCTGATCTCCTGCACACCTGGTGTGTATTACTACAGGACACAAAGACATGCATTGTCAGTTTCTTTCATCCCAGTTTTCACTGCTTTGAGTTCATTCACTTTGTGTTCAGTCTGAACACAGTAAACATTTTCAAATTATTTACAGTTGAAATCACTCCTGGGAAGAACCTCGCCATTGATATTCACAGAGGTCCACGTTTAAATCTGATGGCTGATTTCCTTCTGTGTGTCTACACACAGGAAGTGGTCAGTCTTGGTCACTGTGGTGTTGAGAGTAAAATACAAACAGCCTTCTCTTTCAGAGACCTGTGTCTCCTCAACAGGACGGATGTTTCCATCACTGTCCTGACACTCTACTTAAGGTTTTGGGAGAGCACCCTGAACCTCACACTGCAACAGCATCCTATTCTTTGTAACAGGCACTGTGTCACAGATATTGCACCTGTCTGATACAGAGGTAATCACTCCAGATGTGGCTGCAGCACGGTGGGGACGAGGCCCTGCAGGATGTATGTTCTGCCTACTTGCCAAAGTCCAGCTGGGACTCTTAAACATGCTGTGTCAGTAAACAGGCAGGCAGCTTGAAAGAGTAACTGATCCCCAAAGCGTTGGCTGAAATGTCTCTACTCTGGAAGTTAAAAAAATGCCTCTAGAATGTGAAGAACATCAATGTGGGTAGAGCTGGGAGGATGGGCTAAAACAATCCCAGTCACACCTTCTTGCTGTGCAGAGGAGTGTGGAACGACAGTCATGATGCATATTTATCACACAAAATGTAGAATTTAAATACCTTGCACTAAAATGACGAGAGCTGGACCTGAACACAACTAAACACCGACATAAATTGGTTTTCAGCTGAAAAGAAATGGTTTGGGTTTTAGTTACTAACTAAAACCCAAACCATTTCTTTTCATGAAAGTACTCACCAACAACAAGCTTAACGTGGAACGTTTGACGTGGCTGAAGACGTGGAAAAACACAGGTGTAGTTTCCATTGTCGGTCAGCTTCGTATTTCTGATGGTTATGGAGGCGTCACCATGTTTCAGGTTATCGGGAAAATGAAAGACTCGACCTTTGAACTCCTCACTCTGACCTGATCGCCCATTGATGGTGCCTGCATCATACAGGAACACCTTCTGACCGTCTTTCTTCCATTCAAACATCTCTGACTCAATGTTCTCCTTGGTGCTGAGGGAACAGGGTAAAGTAACAGCATCCCCCTCGTACACACTGATGTCTCTTGGTCCTGGAATTTAAAAAAACACGAATGAATCAGTATGTTTACATGCAGAGTAATAAAGTTATGACAGACGTGAAGTTTATTGTTGTTACAAAATATCCACTTACAACAAGAAGCTTCCTTGTTTTTGGCCTTGTCTTTCACATTGTCCTCAGAGAATCCTTTGCACTATATANTCTGGTCTTGGATATATTTTGACTCACTGCTGGCTTCTCTGATGAACGTATCACACTAATGAACACACTCCCTAAATGAACACTATGAGCCTGCAGCAAAGACAGAGTTTGATACAGAATTCAGACAAAGTGATTTATTCTTTTATGAGAACATGAAAGAAGGAGGATCAAACTCAATCTGTGTAAAATCTGTTTATATGATTATTTCATTAATGTGACATAAAAAATCTAACTTTCGTGATATTTTGGACATAAAATAGGAAAACTTTTCCTGATTTGTTTGAGAAGCTGTTAATCAAAGGAAACCAAAAAATAAGTCTTATTTCTGATTTTTGATGTCATAGATTTCTGCGTCTCTTCACTGAGCACATATTCTGAAAGCCCACCTCGGATATTAATGGCTGACTGTAACAGTCATTAGTGTTTCCACTGAATCTTAATGAGATTTCATTTATTTATTTTTGGAGAAACACATTTTAGGGTGCAGCACTCCTACTTCCTGCGGTGATGCTGCCACACACTTCTAGTGGGTCATTAGTGAAGATGAGAGGGATTACTTCTGTATGAGAGTATTTTTAGGAAAATCCTGCAGAATTTATCTTTGACAGAAAACTTCACCCACAAAATGACAAAAAACATCTTAGTATTGGAGTCTGGCTTTGAAGAGAGCAGAGACAAGTTTCACTTTAAGTTCAGATTTAAATACTAAGTTCAGTTCAGTTTAGGACTAGATGCTACAATCACTTAATGCAAATACTTGAGACTCTGAGTGGGAGTAATAGTGCCGTCTGAGGGTCCGCGTGGGAACCAAAGGGTTAAAGTTAGATGGACAGAAAGGTAGGAAAGAGCACAGGTAGATAGAAAAGTAAGAAGGAGCACAGGGAAGGCAGAGCTGAGGAGAGACGTCTGTGCAGACTGAACTCTCCCCCTCTGGAACGGGCAGTACACTCTGCCTCCCCCCACTCCCTCATTTTGATGATGGAAGAGAGAAGAAACTAACAGGAGAGAAACTTACCCAACTTTAACTGAGGTGGAGTTTAACTAAAAATGTGTTTGTAAGGTGCTGAGCACACGACTGGATAAATGAGACCTGGATTATACTGCAGGAGTTGTGTGAGAGTTTATACATAAATGTGCTGATATAGTTTTGCTGTTGTTAAATGTGGCCCCCAATCAATCAATCAATCAATCAATCAATCAATCAATCAATCTGAGTGCAGTTTTCTGTGGAGGCATTTGAGAGAAACACAAACTCAAAGTAATACAGTTTGACCAACTGATTTACTGATGGTTATTTTGTGGTAAAATGTTCCTTTAACAGAAGATGGAAGCAACTCTACTCTAGACTGCTGCTGGACAACCTGCTGGTCAGAGATTTACCCTGGCTACGGCCCTGTCCACAGGTAAATTAACACTACAGTTGTTATTTGGTCTAAATGTGTTCATCCTAACATCATGTTATGGGTCACTGAAGACTGAAAAGATGCTTGAATCAAAAAAGAAAGCCTGCTATCACAAATTCCTCACATGAGGTTTTACAGTTTGTGCAGCATACAACACGTTTAGACCCACATTTGGAAAAGGAGAATCTCTCCAATACAAGTGTTCATGAGCTCAGACTCAGAGTCTACAGCCAGGCAGCAGCTCTGTGAGGCTGTAACACAGGCAGGTCACACTGGTCTCACACTTTAGATAAGAGACAGACTGTACACAAGATGATGTGTGTCTTTTATCTCGTCTTATTTTCTGTATATACCCATGAAATTATGATACAGGTCAAAACTATAATTCATGTAAACATGCAGATGTTATGGTCTTTGTATGAGGGTGACGTGATGGTTGAGTTCACATACCTGAGCTGTGTGCTCCAGACCCACTGTTCACTGATGCAAATGAAAACAGACGACATTAGTCACTGACACATGAGAACATATTCTTGCATAACTTATATTCATTTCACATAACTGAACTAAAGTAAAAATCAACTTTAAAAAACTGATGAGATCTCAGACACAGCATTTCAAATAATACATTTCTGATATAAAAAAATAAAAAATGATCGAAAAACTTGAGAGTTTTGTTTTGAAGTGCTGTACATTCAATGAAAAAACGGCCAGAAATCAGGATCGGAATGAGAAAAAGTTTTATTGCCAAGATGGTTTTGCACATATAAGGAATTAGTCTTTGTGTTTTGTTGCATTGTGCAGTGTGTGTTTACTGTACTGAGACAAACAGCCTGTTTACACTCAGTATTTCTGCTGCATCCAGCTGTTGGGAAGCTGCTGCATGGCTGGTAGAAATACACTCACACTGGGCTGCCTTCTGCAAATCACATTAAACAGCACCTATGATTTGGTGAACTGTGCAGTGCAGCATTTACATTTTCTTTCAATTTCTTCAGTGAAATTTTCTGAAAAACTGAGCAAAGCAGAGAAGTGATTCTGAGGTCCCCAACCAAACACACTCCTCTCCCTGACTGTGTACTGAGATCCTCCTCATGAGGACCCTTCTCATGAGGAGGATCTCAGTATGCAGTCAGTGGCGACACCCACTGAAAATGTGTTTGACTTCCTGCCAAGGACACAGTCACACAGCTCTCACTCGGGTCACATGAGGACGGGTGAATGTAAGCCTTCACCAAGTCCACAAAGCACATCTAAACTGGGAGGGCAAACTCCCACGACTCCTCCAGTAACCCTGCAAGGGTGAGGAGCTGGTCCACTGTTCCACGGCCAGGACGCAATCTGCCTTGCTCCTCCTGGATCTGAGATTCAACCATCCAGCAGTCTGGAATAAACATTCTAGAGGAGCTGAGCAGTGTGACCCCC